CAAGCACAAATTCCCACAGCAGGACACATCAGCAGTACCAAAGGCATCTCACCAGTACCAAAGCAGCTTCTTGGGACTGGTGGTAATGAACTCTGCTGGAAACTTGCATTATTCTAAGTGTCCCAAGTAATCACACAGGTCTCAGATGTTTGTTGTAATGCCATTCACTTAGGAACAGACCTAGTTTGCCAGCAACAGCAGGAGAAGCACCTAATTACCTTTGCTGAACATTCTGCAATTTAAAATTTCAGAGCTGTGAGCTACTCTTGGAGCATCTGTGCTGTCCTAAGCCAACAGCCTTGAAAAGTAAACTGAGTCCATTTTCCACTACTGTTGAAAATTGATAGAAATGGCCAAACATGTTAAAAGAGTCTTGTCAAAACGTAAACGAACAGTTTTGAGCACAACAGACTAACTCAGTGGAGTGACTGGAAGATGTGTATTGTTTTAGCTATCCCAGTGGGAAAACTTTCCCCAGTTCTCCCAGTAGTCACAGCATCGACAATGGTATCTTTGATTTACAGAACATGTGTGTCATCTGGCAGTGGAGAAGGGGCTGCAATTCCAAGGAAGGATTGCAAGGCAAGGAATCCCATTATGTTTTGTGTAGTTTTGTTCCATTGCGTGGTTACTCATTTGCTCAATTTCTCTGGAAATCCATGAGTAGCTCAATCTTTTTGACAGCTACAGGAACATATTTCATCCAAGCTCTCCATTAAATAGTGCAGACACAGAAATTAATGGTTGGTGTACTCAAAGCCAAAACTAATTTATAGACTTTGGAAATTATTTCCTGCCTGCTGGATTTATAAGCAAAGGCCAGTGTTGCTGGGAGAGGCAGCCAAGACTACTCTGTCTTGATCCAGATTAGAAAGTATTCGGTGTGTGAAAACAAGTTGCATAGTATTGTGTGAGCCCCAGGCAAGCTCTTGTTGCTCCTAAATCAGATACAAGAGTAATCTCCAAGCACACAAGAGATTTCAAGGGAGTTGAAGCATCACTGGTCTCTGTGAGGGTAAGTCAGGCCTATGAAACGATGCCCACTGGAAGGCCATGAGAAATGGAGTTGCTTGCCAAGGCATTTTAAGGGATGAACCTGCCTAAAAAGGCAAGAGACCCTTCTATCCCCAGCAGCAGATGTGTGCTCTGTTTGAAGCACTGCATGACACCAGAAAGAGGAGGGAGACCCACAGCTTTGAGTGCTTTTTCCCTCGGATGCACATGGTGTATAGAGATCGTGGACTCCAGAGCTCTCTGGAGTTTTCTCCTCTGCTAGTAATTGAGTAATTTCCTCTGTGCTCTCCCTTCTCCGGAAGGGATTTCTGGGCCTGTTTGTCTTGGCTGCTGCCCTGGCTTCCACTAGTGAAAGCTCCATTTCCTGAATACCAAGGTCACCCAGAAGAAAAACCAGCAACACCAACGGCAGCAGCTCCCATTTCAGAACAGGTGTGGGGAGGGAACTCCCTCTTGCCCTAAAGATTTCATTGAGCAATAATTTCCACATGAAGTATATTTACTACAGCCTTTTGCTCCCAGAGCTGGCTAAGCCTGTTTTTAACCCAGACAGTTTCAAGATGTTCAGGTTTTCTCATCCTGTCCTGATTGTTTGCTTGATTTCATCATCAGCCTGGTTCAGGCTCTGAGTTAAAAGCCAGCACAGCAGAGAGCTGCACTGAGTGGAAGAAGCAAATGCTCCCGTGTGAAAGTATCTTCAGCATGTGAGAAAGAAATTCAGATTCCTTATCAATGAAATGAATATCCTGGAGCCAGAAGAATATATTTACATGTCATTGCTCCCTGCTGCAAGTCACGAGCAGCACAGTGCTGCTGTGCAATCAGATTCCTGTTTAGACAACAGAGCTGGAAGCTAAACTGTGGGTCCAGAGTGTGCTGAGAGGGATCTCAGAAGGGGAAGAACCAGCATTTCAAAGGTGTTCTCTTTGCAGACAAAGTGAATGCCACCATGGCCAAGTCATTGTACTTGGAAATTTTTTTATTTGGAGAGGCAATTCAGGTGCAAATGTCCTAACAGTAAATTGGACAACATCAGTTGAAACTGAGCTCCCTGCAATCTCTTTAGCTGGTGCAGATGTTACATAAGCTCAGCAGCACTAAGAACAGCAGCTTCCATTTCAAAACAGATGGGGAGAAGGAAAACCTCCAAAGGTGTTTCTGAACAGATAATTTCCATGTCAAGAATATTTCTTAACCCAGCCTTGTGCTCCCACAGTTGGCCCGAGCCAGTTTTGTCAAAACAAAGATTAGTTTATTTAGTCTGCTCACTGTATTCTCTTATCTCAGTCTTCTGGTTTGTTCTCTTGTACCCTCCACAGAAGGAAAAATGTGTCTTTTGGCTTGCCTGGGTTTTTTTGCTTGGTTTCCTAAGGAAACAGGAATAATGCAATTGTATTTATATGTGTGCACATGCATGTTTCAAAAGACTTCAGAGCCCATTGGCTAATTTCAACCACATTTGCTGACAGGGTTGTAGTGAAGGAGTCTGAAAAATGCTCTGTTGGTACAGGTTACATGAAAGTCAGTGACCAGGAAGAAGAGACAAACCCTCTCTCTGTCCCCATTTAACAAAAAGTTTTAGTGCAAGTCCAGCCCTTGTCAGACTCAGTTATTCACCTGAATAGGAAGTTCTTCTGCCTGCAGTGAGTGGGGTATGTTGTCACCTTAGCAAAGTGCCACTCTAGGGAGGAGTGACTCGAGTGTGTTTTTCTTATCTGTAAAATACAGGGTGCTGTGCTCATTCCCTGAGACGTGCTGAATTTATTCATGTCTTTCCCAGATGAGCTGTTATCCATAGGGAGGGCTCAGCACCGTGGCAGGCCCTGCAGAGCTCCTGGGTAGTGCTGATGTACAGCAACAGCAGCCAAAGCTGAAGACATCATTTTTCTCCTTATAAAATAAGGATTGACCAGAAAATGCTTCTTTGTACCTGAAAGAAACCAAATTGGGTCCCAGCACTTCTGGCAGCAGAAGCAGAAGTGTTTGGTGGCAGTGTGACTGCAGCCACTGAGCAAAGTGGGAAGTCTAACTGTGGCCTGTTCTGGGTGGATGGGTTTATAAGCAGGATTGTCTGACGTTTGTGGGTCCTGAAGTGTTTCTTATCACTGTGTTTCCTTCTCCCTCTTTGCACAATATCCACTGTGTTTGAGAGAGCCTCTCCTGATGGAGGGTGGAGGAGCAAGTTGCAGGACAGGCAGGATGGCTTTTGATCTTCCCTTGATCTCTAACCCAGTGCCTCAGGCTCTGCAGGTGAAATAGATTTTGAGAAGGGAGCTGCAGTGACTAAGCAAGGCAGTAACATTTCCTTCCCTGAACAGAGAATAAGCTGGCAAGGAAGCAGACATTGACTGGAAGGTGGGGAGGTTATGATTTCTTCCTGGTCACAGAAGGCAGCTGTGGAAAGCTCTGCTGCTGGGCCTCTCCCAGAGCAAAACCTGAACTTTGGACTGTCACTTTCACCACCTGGAAGGAGAACCAGCACATATTCCCTGGCTGCTCTACACTTTATGCTGCCACTTTAGCTGCTAGGTTGGAAGTGGAAGCCTTGAAGTAGCCACTGCACAGCACCAGAGAGTGAGAGCCCTGAGGGTGGTGCTTCACCCCTGACACACTGTTGGTCACTCTAGGGGTAGGAGCCAGGGCTTTCTGTGCTTTGGGCAGTGACTTATTAGTGCTGTGTTCACACATTATTGCTGTGTTCTGAAGTTCCCATTTCTCCCTGCTGAGAATCGATGAACAATATGATCTCATTCAGGGAAGAGCCTGATTTGGTGGTACCAAAGTGCAGTCAGCTGATTCTTTCAAAAAGCTGATTCTCATATCAGATTGTTTTATCACAGTGCTGAAGCCTCATTACAGCCAGCACAGTTGTACATGATTGCATGGCTCTTGTTACAGCAGTATGTCCTGATTCACAGCACAGCAAACTATAGTTTGACCCTGTCATCCCCAGGCATTGTGGTATGTTCTCAGATCCAGGAGAGAGTGATTCATAGCACTGGACCTCTCGGGTCAGGAACACATTTGCCACAGATCACTTTGAAAAGTGACCTTTTGGCCTGATAATAAGTAACAAGTGCATCCTGCCAGTGGGAACACAATTTTTGTCATCTTTCTGTTGTTTGAGCTGTTAGACTGTGTAGTCATCTAGTTGCAGAGTGGCTTGTTTGTTTAGTTGTATTTCTGTGGCATGATGAGTTCACACACAAGGCCTCATTGTGCAACACAAAAACAACTCATTAGGCACAAATGGGCTGGGACAGAGCTGTGTTAGATGTCACAGTTGGGAACTGCACAGTCTCCTCCTTCTTCTAAATGGTTCTTCTTCTGTGGTTTTGTTGCAGGTGGTGACCTTTGATGCAAGAGGAGTGAGTGGCCATGCTAACCACATTTCTCTTTACTCTGCTGTAAGGTACAGTGTTCTCCTTCCATGGATGTCTCCCTGTAGTGCTGCAGAGTGAACGTGGTGTTTGTGTGTAAGCAGAACCAAAAGCAATATTGATTTCACTGCCATAACTGAGTGCCAGGCTGTGGGACACAGTCCTGTTTGGAGAAACTGTCACAGCTCTGCAAATGACCTACAGCATGTCTTAGTATTCCACCAGCTGGTCCTTTGCCAGTCTCCCTTTCACTGGGCCCTCTTTGCTCTTCCTGTCCCTTATCCCACTAAAATATGCCACAGGTCACTTTGCACTTCTGGTTTGAGGAGTGTGTGAATAGCTGATGCCTGAGCTGGTGGTAGTTGGGTTTTGGAAAGTTCTGCACCATTGTTCCTGAGGGTGTTGCCTTCCCGTCCAGGTACCTGAATTGATCCCTCTAACCCAAGGACGTTATTTACCACTCTTAGGAAGAGCCAATTCATTCCTTCACCACTCAGTTCCTTACATTCTGAGACCCTCTGTGTCCATGCTGTGATGTGGAAAGGTTGCTAGACAAAAATCTCTGTATTAAAATCACCCAAATTCTGCTGGCAAGACAGTTACTCTATTGTACTTTAACCCTTTGCTCATTGAGACCTCACTGTGTCCTAGAGGGATCTCCTCCAGAGCTGCCCCTGCCTTTCCCAGGCATGAGAAAAACTCTTTGCAAGTATAGTTCGTATTTTTAGCACCCATTTATTTTCTGAATCATCTGTGCAATTCAAATAACTCTTCTGCCTTTCCTCATCACAGTGATTTGTCTTTCTCCTTTGCCTAGAGAAAGCTCAGTGCCATGGGACCCATAGTGGGACCTACTGAGCTCCTCTGGGAAGAAGCTGAAAGTCTTTGATGCTATCTGATGGCTGGAATTCAGTGTTAGAGGGGATTGTGGCTTCTCCCAGCAGCTTCTGAAACAGCCTAACAGGAGAGAGGGTGGAGTTAAAGCAAATAGTGTTTGTTTGGGCTAAGTGGGGAGATGCTTGTTGGCACTGTTATCTGAGGAGCAGAGGTTGATGCCTAATGCTCACACCATTGGCACAGAGGGACTAGAGAGCTTCCAGCTGCCTGGACCTGTGTTTGCACAGGGATTGCTGCATGAGCTGCAAATAGGAACACAGGGCAGGTGGTTGGGTGTCCCCTACATCCTGAAGAGATCATGGGAAGACAAACTAGCAACTGAGTTATGTATGAGAAAGTTACAGAAAACTGATTTTGATCCCAACTCCACTGTTGCCTTCCTTTGTGGCTGTGCTTTAGGTTTCCTGTGTGTGCAGTGGGGATCTAACCCTCTTTGTGCCTCAGAGCATGTTGCTAGGAAGTATCCATTGTCTGCAAGCCCCTTGAACTCAGACCTTTGCATTAGTCCTACAGCAGAGCATTGTCCTGGGCTGATGAGATCCATGCTGATAGGGACACCAGAGCATGAGCAGTTCTCATTAACTAAGGGCTAGTTTGTGTCTTGTGTCTCTTCCAGTCCTGAATCAGCAGAAATGGGCATGGTGGCCCTGTGAGCTGCATGTGGCAGGAGTGACGCTGTGGCCACTGAAAGGTTAAGTTTATTTTTAGTGCCTGCCTTGCCCTCATTATTTTTCAGTTTGTGTTATGGAGGAAGTAGAGCGTGACTGTGTCACTCCTGACTCCCAGTGCCCTGATGAGTTCTCACATGTTGGCCAGTACGGGCAGCACTGGGAGCATATGCTGGGGCTTCTCCTGTCCCCAGCAGAGCTCTGCAGAGCAGCAGTCGCTGCCCCTGGGGCCCCAGAGCTACCTGGCAAGAAAAAGGCAAATGAACTCTCCCCTCCAGGTATCATGTGCGATGTATTTATTAACCATCTTTAAACAAGGTCTGCAGGGTTCTGCCTCCATTGTGACTCTGAGTGGAAAGGATGAAGGAGAGGGCTGGTGTAGCTCCTGTGGATGTTCCCAGTCTGTGAGAGAGAGATTTGTGCCCACTACCCATGACATTACTTTCTGCAAGAGCAAGGGTAGAACACTCTGTGTTCCCTCCCACAGCTCCTCACTTCAGGAGGTACAAATTATTGACCAGCTTCAAGGAATAAAACAGCTCAGGAAGTGGTCATAGCTGAGCAGATGCTCAGTGTTGCCTGCTAAGGGCATAAATATTGTTCCCAGTGTCTGGAGCAGAGGTTATGTTCAAAGGAGCAGGAACTGTTCAGAAGAAATGAGCTCTTTGCCTTGCAGCAACCTTCCTCCTGACAGCTTGCAGGAGTCCAGCTGCTGCTGTGTGCTGTCGGATCTGGGAGGGACTGTGAAATGCCAAGGTTTGAGGGTGGATTTGTTCTTCTGCAAGGGAAAAAATAAGAAAAAACAGGATGGGAGAGGAACACAAATTGCTATTTGATTTCAGTCTCCCCCGGGAGTATTTCTGTTCTGGCTTCCAGACGGAAAAAAACCCAACCCAAACCCAAGAAAAACTCACTGTAGCAAAGCAGGGAGAACTGGAAGCAATCCTGCAGCTCTGCTTCTTTCCCCATCACCTTGATTTGGCAACATCATTCTCTCTTATCCCCCAAAACAGGAGCTTTGCCTGTGGCTAAGACAGCATGGATCCTTTTCACTCATCCACAAGGAAGAGCAGGTCTTGAGTGCCATCCAGGTCACTTTACTGCCCCCTCAGCATTTGGCCATTCTCTAGGCACTGCAGCAATAAGCTTGGTAAATACGACGTGACAGGAATATCTGAGAACCTCTCTCCTGCACTTTGAAATGACAATATTTGTGCTCAGCTCACATGGAATATCAGGGTGGTTTAGTTTTGCATGAGTCATTGTGCATTTTGATTTTAACCCTCCTGCCCAGGAGCCTGACAGGTGGGGGCTGTGGGGATTGTTGTTGGGTTTGTTGTTTGCTTAGGATGGGGAACAGGAATGGTCTTTATGAGGAGGAGGGAGGACTGTACCACTTGTTTTCTTCAGTGAGCTATCAAACCTATTTCATCCCAGCTAGAACAGAAAAGAATAGTCTTGTCTGGTTAGGGCAGAGCAAACTGAGTGGAAAATAGGAGCTGCTATATTTAACCACTGTGCATTATGTTGTTATAGCAACTGCATCCATAAAACTTCTATCAATGATGCCATATAAAAAGCTACATCAAGGAATCATTAGCTGAGCCTATTCTCGTCAATTCCATTTGGAAAAACACCTTTCAGTCCTGCAGGATGTTTTTTAGCATTCACCAGCTCAGTGGTAGGTTGTAAATGAGGCTGTGCAGAGGTAATGTTTGGGAGCTTAGTGCTTTATCACTCTGGAGTTGATTGTGATGCAGCCTGAGTGCCACCGATGCCTTGTTGCTCTTCCATGTCCCAGCCTGGCTGCTGAATGCCCCAGTTCTCAATGCCATGGGACACAGCATTGTGCAGAAGGGCTGCTCTGGGGCTCCCTGAAAGAGGAGGGTTGGTTAAATGCCAGTTTCAAATCCATGTGTGGAAACAATGAGCAGAGCACTGTCCAGCCAAATCCCACACACTCGGTGGGTCCCGTTCTCAAGAGCCACCAACTGCACTGCAGCCCAACAAAGCACAGTTCTGCCTGTGCTGTGTTCCCAAGGCCAGGTCTTAAAGGATGTGTTGAGCAGGGAGGAAGCTGTTTTTGGAGTGATTAGCTTGATAATAGTGAATGATATCCCATTTACCATTTTTAGTTGATGCCTTCTTACCGTGCGGGGCTGGAATGGGACTCTGATCTCTCCTTCCTTTCAGCAGCTGTAGCCCATGCACTTCTAATTTCTTTAACTGATCTTAAATGTCCCAGAGGAGCTTATGAGTGGTGGCTGTGGTTGCACCCAGACTGCCCCCATAAGGTCGAGACAGAATTATCCTCTGCTGTTTATCCTTGGAGATTTCCCCTCAGAGGATTCTGCCCTATGCCTGGCATATATCCCATAGCTGGGTACGTTGTCCTAGATTTTAGCTCATTCCTTTACCCTTGCTCCCTCCTTCCTTAATCTGACTAAATTCATTCATCCCAGTGCCCTTCCATGACACTGTTGAGAGCCATTAGGATTAAAGTTGAGCAAGGGACATCAGCACCTCAGGGATTCCCCCCACCAAAGGAATTTTTTTCCCAAAGAAACAGCCTCCAGGGATGTCCTTCCCAGCTGCTAGCAGCGAGTGGAGCAGTGACACTGCACATTATTCTCCCAGCCAGTGCAGGGCCCAAAGCACAGAGCCACAGAACAGCTCTGTCAGCTGGAAGATCTCTGCATTGCCACTGGCAGAACCATCTCTTGCCACTGCAACACGCTGAGTACAGAGAGCCTGAGCAGTGTTTTACAAACTGCATGTTGCTACACGGTGTAGCTCAGGGTGCATGGAAATGGAGCCAGAAAGTCCAGTTAGGGAGGGAGGAGGTGTTCCAGAGAGCAAACACTCAGCATCTGGCAAGTATATCCTATAATGTCTCTGTGATTCCTAGGAGACTGGCTGTTCTTCCTTCTCCACATCTGTTTCATCAGATTAATCAGGCAGATTAGAGGTTGGGATTCTAAATGGAGCCCCAGCACATCTTTAAGACATTCACTCTCTGCCATGCTCTCCAGAATTGCATTTCCCCAGTGCTCCACAGCAGCCAGCACAGTCAGATCAGTGAAGGGTTTTGCCTTTAGCATGGGAGAGTGTTTGGAGAGTGAAGTCATTGAATTCGATGAACAACTTGTCATCAGATAGAACATCACCAAAACTGTAACCCACCCACTGGGACATCAGTCCTGCTTCTACCCCAGAGGAGTTCTGTGTTCCCTGGGACTGAGGGTTCAGCTCCATCTTGACTTGGTTCTCACTGCCATCATGGGAAGGTGTCAGAGGTCAGTGCCATGTAGGAGCTACCACACTCACTTTGCTGACATCTTTCCTTGAGGATGACTGAGTAAAGACAGGGAATTTGGGAGCAAGCTCAGTCCTGCAATTTGCAGAGTGAGAGCTGTTGGGCCACTTCAGGTTTTGTGCCGAGCAGATGTAGCTGAGAGCTGCAGGCAGCAGTGGTTGGTGCCTTCAGACATCTCATGGCCCTGTGGGGTTCATTGCAGAGGGTCTCACTCTCCCTCACTTGTGGATCTGAACCTACCATGGGTGTAATAGAGAGGGTACAGTGAGAGGTGCCCTGTAATCACCACCTCTGGCACTTGGTGGGTGGGAACAAGCCACCTTAGGTCACTTTATGTTTAAAAAGAATTATAAAAGTCTCTCCGGGAAAAAACCCAAACACCCACATTGGAAAAAGCTCCTGAAAAAGAGGCTGTTTGTGTTTGACTTCTTGAGATTGGATGCCAAACTCTTTCATTTCGCCCAAACCACAGCAAGTCCAATCTGTAAAACAACATTCCCAAAATGGCAACAACAGAGAGCTGCAACCTCTCCCCTACTTGGAAGTGTCCCATGGAGACACTCCAGCAGGGTGGAGATGGGAGCGAGAAGATGGATTTGGGAGAGGATTGGCTCGTTTTGGGACCGTGTGCAGGAGGTAGAGTTTTGGGTTTCTTTCTCTCTCTCCGCAACCAGAGTTCATTGCCATTTCTTGCCTGAGAAATACAAAGGAGCAAGGCTGCAATTCCTCTGCAGCACGGAGCTGGGTGGAGCTCTGCACTGAGCCTTGCTGAGTACTGAAGTGTTTGCATCCAGGCAAAAAGGATGAGGAGAGATGCAGTTTCTCCTGCCTGTTCTTCCAGACGAGTGACAGGTCTGCTGGCAGCAGCTCTGAGGACCTTTCAGTAACCAAAATACAATTTGTGTCTCCCTGAACCCGTATACAAGCACAAACTCCTTCACCTGCTGCTGCATCAAACTTTCCTTCCCTGCTGAAGGTGCTCTCTGCTCCTGCTGCTGATCTCTTGCTCCTGTTTCTAGTGACAGGAGTGGTTATTATTAGTTCCCTCTTGGAGCAGCTCAGTTAGAGCTTTGAAGATGCCTCCATGGCAGAGCAGCACACTCAGAACAGACACTAGGCCTTCAGATAGTTTGCCAGATTTCACAACCACTCAGTGCTTTATCTCTCCAAGCTTGTTCTAAAATGTTCCCACCCTGCTAGCTGTACCAAGTGCTGAATCACTTCTTTGGGTGGCCAGATTCTAGTTGTGGGGGAAGAAACCTCTGGCAGAAAAGCAGAGCTGACATTAAGGGAGATACTTAAGCCTTCCTCCCCCTCACCACCCCCAAAAAATCACTGGTAATGTTTACAGGGCAACATTTAACAAGCTTTGTCAGAGCAGTAAGGCTTGAGTGGTGGGGTAGAAGGTGGCCAAGTCAGTATTCCAAAGCCATTGTTTAGCAGGATATGGTATTACTTGCAGAGCTTTGGCTCTGGAGCAGAGGAGACCATTGGCAGGAGAAGCTGTTGGAGGCATATGTTTTCTGATTGCTGTTTGAGTTCTGCCATGACCTGCATTTCTGGCTTGACTTTTGCTTTGAATTGTGTTGGGTATTCATTACTCCATGCTTCCTATTTTGTCTAGGCCTGTGTAGCTAATCCTTTTCCTTGAACTTAAGCAATAGCCAGAGATAATCCCAGTTTGAAAGTGACTGGAGAAACAGAGCAGTTTACATATAATGCATGTTTTATCCTGGTTGATTTACACATGAGCTGTCACATTGTCCTTCGTTAAAAACACCACTGTAAGATGATAACAATCTCTTTAAATATTACACAGGGTTAAATAACTTTTCCTTTTTTGATTTCCTTTCTCCTTTTGGCAAATGTTCCATTGTTTGGATTTTTTTTTGCTCATGGAAGAGCAGGGCTGGGTGTGGGACAGCCCTGAGTGCCATCTGCTGGAGACCTGCTGCCTCCCAGCCCTGCCGTGGGCCAAATCTGGGGGCGATGCAGATGGGGCTGTCAGCATCAGTGCTCCCAAGCCATGAACCACAGGCTAGAGCAGGAAAACCAAGAGAATTCAAAAGAAATTGAAGTTAACACCCTTCGATGCCTTCACCATAAACAGGATCATTTACTTGCACTTCCTAATGGAAGTCCCATCAGTGTTCACATCTCCTGCACTGTTCTGTTTCCAAGGGATGAAGTTTTGCTGCAGACTTCCCAGAACAAAGTCATGAAACGATCAAAGTCTTAGTGAGCAAAAAAGTCAGAGCAGCTTCTCAGATGTCCCAGTGCCAGCGTGGGTTGGAAAGAGAGAAGCTGGTCCCCAGAGAGGAGCTGTCACTGAGGCAATGTCTCTGGCCAGCAGACCTTGGGCTTTAAAGACCAATGCTCCCAGGGGTGAATAGCCTTTGGCAGCCTCTTGTACTTTCCCTTAGTGCAACTTGAGAAGTTTGAGAGCATGTTGGGTTTATGGAGCTTATTTGTGCTGTGTCCCAGCAGCCAGGATGAGGAAAGGAATGGCAGAATAGTGTGAGGAGTGAGGCTAACCACTGCCTGATGTGTGTATCCAGTGTCAGCTCCTGAAGCTTCTTACAAGACTGGCCGTTGTAAATGTGTGTGTGTTAAGAAAAGAGTTGGTTTAGCATACAGAATCTATACCAGTAAAATCAGGGTTTCAGTAGCTCTATTGAGTGTTGACCCTCATGTATCTCTCCTTCACAGGTACCTGCATTCAGAGAGGAAGTTACCTGAAGGTATGTCACCTTACGTTCTTGACCACTGGGCAGTGTTTTACATGAATGTTCTGTCCAGGGTTCCAACTGCATAACTCACCTCTTCCTTGCCATTTTATCTCCCTGCAATTTTTCACCAGCTCAGGCTTCTCTACCCTCACTTTTCTGTCCTTTGGGGTTGTCCTGTCTCAGTGGTGTGATTCAGTGTCTGGCCTGTGCCTCTTGCTGTCTTGGATGAACATGAGTGCTATTTCCAGGTCTCTCAGCTTAGTCACAGAGGTTTGGGGCACATCTTAGTTACAAGCCTTTGCTTTTTTTTCATGAAAAAAGCATGGAAACCATTACCAGCTCAGTCTGAAATGTTTGCATGTACCCAGTTAAGTTGCCATCAAATTATGCTCAGGAAAGGTATCTGAAATCTGCAGTGGCACAGCAAATTGTAGTGGCTTCTTTCACCTGTACATGAGTAAAAATTCCTGAGAAACTGTACAAGCAGGGAAAGGAAAGAAAGTACAGAAGCAGGTTGCTCCTGACCTGCTTTTCCAGCTGCTGTCCCAGAGCAGAGCTGCAGCCTTTATCTCTAGCAAACAGTGCCTGACTCAGGGACAAATGTGTGGGACTAGTTTAAGCCAAAGCTTTCAGCTGTTTGGACAGAGCATAGGAAGGTGGCTCAGCCAGGCCCTCCCAGTCAACCTCCTGCTCCCTCAGCAGCCATCCAGGCTGTGTTTCTTTAATGCTAATTCCCAAATCTTTGTGGGATTTGAATGAGTCACAGCAAATCAGTTTTAATTCTCTGCTAGCAGGAAGCTGCGGACCAAGTTCTAATGAGAGAGTGTGAGCCAAGATGGCAGAATGCCCTTTAGCTGAGTTCTGACTCGAGTCTCTTCAGTTCCACAGTCTATGGAAGAGGAGAATTAATGCCAACTTACTTCCAAGGACCTTTTCTTTGTTCAGCTTTGGGAGGCAGCAGAGCTCTGTGTGAGTACAGAGAAAGGACAAGGACCTGCAGTGGTGGATGTCACCACTGGCTGTCAGGCCCTATCTACATTGAACAACTTTCATGTGCTGCTCATGCAGGTTTGTTAGATTCACTATGGTCCTGAATATGGGCTGTGCCTCAGATTCGTTCAGGTTTGAAACAGACCCATGTAGAGAGACCATTTCCATTTCTCTAGCAGCATCAAGAGACTCCTGGAGCTCTGTGAAAGCCTTGCTGCTCTGATTACATCACATCTGACATGACCTACAAACACCAAAGGAACGGGGAGCTCCCATGCTGCTGCTTACGCTAAGCCTTTCCAAATATAGTCCCAGTCTCATTGAAATTCCCAGTATTTATAATTTGATCTGGCAGGCATGCAGGGCTGTGCATCAGAGGGGCTTAATGAAACAAGAGTGATGCTGGGATTGAGGCTGTCTGGATAGAGCTGAAAGGCATGTTCAGGCCATGGAAATGTGCTGCTTTCCTGTTGGTAAGAAGGAACTGTTTGTGGGTGAACCTGTGTAAGCCCATGTGATCAGGGAATCCACAGAAAATCTCTCTGCAAATGCAAAAGCCAAGCTAAGCCTTGCATTGCCTCAGTGATATGCAAATGAGCACCCTAAATATCCTGCTTTGCTTTCTAATGCCTTTAGCCAGCATAAACACAACAGGCTTTTTATAATCTGTAATCAAATTCTCCAGCCTGGGCACAGACACATGGGCTTGTTTCAAGAAGCCAAGACAGCTGCTGGAAATGCTTCCACCCCTGCTACTGGCCCCATCCAGCTATAACCAGTGCTCTTCCAAAAGAACTGGTCTGCTTCCGTCTGTCAGGAGCAGTGCAGGCTGCAGCACATGGATCTGCTCAGGAGCTCCTCATTCTAGGCATACTTGCTGCCTAAGTGACTTGGAAGTAGAAAGCCAAGCCGAGCAAGCTGCAGGCTTCACACACTTCTATTCTAGGCCTAATCCATGAGCTATATTGATCTTGCCCTTTCTGCCAACCTAGAGAGGTTGTATTACACTGCTAATCCCATCCTGCCCAGGTCACAGTCACAACAGGCTCTGAAAAGCTTCACCTGCTGGTGTCACAGGAGTAGACTCTCAATGGCAGCACTGCACTTACCCTGCTTGGCAGCCTGTTTCTTTGAGTCCTTTTTCATCTCTGCCTGGACTGTACATTCCTTCCTTGCTTCATTTCATCTCACGTTCCCATGCAGAGTAGCTTTTGCTGTCAGCATGTGGAGGTCTTTGTCATACCACTGACACAGAAGGCTCTTACAGTGCCCTTCATTTTGGAGGCTGAATGCCACTGCTTTGCCTGATCTGACTGAAGAAAGCCCAGGAAGTCAGACCCATCAATACTGAACTCACTGGTGGTGGAGTTGAGCCCTTATTGCTGAGCTTTGAGGAACAGAAGGGCATAATTGCTGCATGAATTAATATTTCTTAGGGAAAAAATGATGAGGAAAGGGAGAGCATGTTTGGTTAACAGAGCAGCCCAGGCTTCAGAGAGCAGTGGTGGGTAACCCTGTGCCAGGCCTCTCCGCCATCATTGCAAGTAGGAGTTCAGGTGGCATTGCCAGAGTCCATTAACCATCTGGGAAAGGAAAGATTCACTGTCCTGTGCTTGCTCTAGCCCCATCCTCCTGTGGTTGAGAAACAAAGAGGTGGCCAGTGGGAATGCTGACAAGAGCAAGAGGATCCACATCTATTCCTTAGTATGGTGGCACCGTTCAGCACTGTACCACCTCTGACACTACCCCCAGCAGCAGCCCAGAGCATCTCTGCAGAGAAGGAGAAAAAGTGGTTCATCACAAGTTTTCTTCCAAGTCTGCTATTTGAAAACAAGTCTGTAGTGGGAGGAAAAGAACCATCAGGGCACTTCTGTGGGTATCTTGTCCCTGCAGAGCATCCTTTGCACTAGCAGCTGAAACCTGATGGCAGCTAAACAGCCCTTGCCATGCTGTCACTTGTCAGGGTGTGCTGAGAGTGAGACGAGGGCTCAGGTTGGTGTCAGGAGGTGGCTTGGGGGCCGAGCTGGTCCCACAGCTGCATCCCACAGCTGATCACACCGCAGCATCCCACTGCTGATCCCACAGCTGCATCCCACAGCAGCATCCCACTGCT